CTCACAGGACACTTAATACAGGGTGTCTCCAGCAACCAACCTTTTGTTTTTCCTTTTTTCATAGACAGTGAAACATCCTGTGTGTATAAGGCACCCACCGTCGGTGAAGTACACCCAGAGCTTCCTCTTGGAGCTCATCAAAAAGGTCAGTGGTGGGCAGTGTCTCCTGTAACCAGACCACAAGTGGAACTAGGCTGGCTGTGCAGAGGGGGCTCCCCGCCAGGGCTTTGCCTCTTGGAGCTCACATCCCTCCCTGCTCTTCATACCTGCTAGGCAGGGGCCTCCTGGACAGTGGGCTGCCAGCAGGATTTGCTCAATAGGCAAAGCTGGGCATTTCTCCCTCACCTGCTTGCAGGGTCTTGGCAGCAGCTGTGTCTCCTCTGGGCCCCTCCCACCAGGCAGGTCCTCATCCTGCCAGGCAGCCCTGGCCCTAAGTGCTGGAAGCCCCTCCTCCCTCCATCCTGCCAGTGTGACAGGCTCCGACAGCGCCCTGCCCTTGCCAGCCCTGGGTAGCCCGCCAGCCTCTATTGGAAGTGCCTTCAGAGCTGGTTCCTCACTGAATTCTCCCCATTGAGCTGAGTGGGCTTCCTGACGGGCACAGGATGTGTGCCCATCGGGCTCAGTGCTCGACAGCATTAGAAGCGGTTCCTCCACAGCAGTAGTACACGCCTCAGCTGCCACCAACTGACAGGGCCACACCTCACTGAGCTTAGCACACAAGTAACCCTTGCTTCTCATCACCCCTGTCCCCAGGCCTCATCACATGGTGCTTCTGTGGTGGTCTCAGCACCTCCTGAAGTGTGTCTGCCCTCCAGCGGACCCTGCGCTGACCTGGGAAGCCCGGGCCTGGGGTTGCCACTGGGAAGCAGCTTGGAAGCCGCGCTGCCCTGTGGGCACCTTACTGTGGCTTCTGCTGCACTCCCTTCAGATCTCCTCCATGTGAACATGGCAGAGCTTCCTCTCAGTGGAATTTGCTCTCCTAGACTGTGCCACCCTCACTCTGCACCTTGCTACCCACATACTAGATGTTCTCTATTAAGTCATTTCACTCCAAATCTCCTAACTTAGGTGCAGGTCCCGTCTAACGCAGCCGCAGGTTGGCGCAGAGGCAAACAGAATCTGGAGTTATTTCTGAGGGTCACACTGATCCCCTCCACTGAAGCTGTCACTCTTTCCCCCACAGCACGAGGTTGTCCACGCAGAGCCTTTGGACGAGCTGTATGAGGCACTGGCAGAGGTCCTGACCACCGAGGAGCCCACCCAGTGCCACCGAAGCTATGTGCTGGTAGGAGATGTGCACAGGCCAAACAGCTGTGCGCCAGGGGGTGACAGCAGGGCTCGGCACAGGGTTGATCCTGACCCCTCAGCTCTGCAACCTCCTTTGCCTCGCCCAAAACCAAGCACTCCAATAAACAACAGAACCTGTCTCAGGCAGCCACTCAGTTACTCGTTAGCAAGGACCTGGTGTCCAGTCTTCAGTTCACACCTGACTGTGTGGACCTCACAGGACAGCAGTCTCTTCTCACTCTGCTGCCACCACCGTCACTGGCCCAACTGCCCCTCCTATTGTCACATGGAAACCCCTTCTGCACACAATAGCCAGAAGGAGGTTGGGGTTGCTTCACTGGTTTGCTTTAAGCTGCTTTTATAAAACAGCTACAGAAAACCACACGCAAGAAATACAGAGCTTATAGAGTCACTGCACGGCAGTAGCCACAGTGACCGCCACTCTGGTGGTGGGACAGAACCCTGGCAGCAGCCCCTGAGGCCCTCCACCTGACCCAGCCAGTCCCAGCACCAGTAACCGCCATCCTGCCTGTTGGTCATGTCCCTGAGTTTGTGTACCTCACTCTGCTATGGGCCCGCAGACACCAGCATTAGTCCTGTCCATTAACTGGGCACAACCCAAGGTCTCCCTCCCACACTCTATCCTTGCCACCCCTCTGCTGAATGGCCCTGGCCGTCAGAGCTGGGCCTGGGGGCACCTGTGGGGGCGTCCTGCCGGCCCCTCTACTTCCCGCATGCTGACTGGCCCCGAGCTGCACCACGGTTGCTGCGTGGGAAGTTTCTTTTCCCTTGCCGGGTGGTGGCTGTGGTGTGGCCACCACTGTGACTTAACACTAGCACCGTGTCCAGATGGCTGGCTTCATTCCCCTCCCGCCCCGTCTCTTCGTGCAGCCTTCAGGAGATTCAGTCACCCTCTCGGAGAGCACAGCCATCGTTTCCCACGGCACCACGGGCCTGGTCACGTGGGATGCAGCCCTCTACCTCGCAGAGTGGGCCATAGAGAACCCAGCAGCCTTCAGGCACAGGTGACCGCAGGCACAGGGCAGGCACCAGGCGGGTTGGCCCTGGCACAGACTGACAGGCTCCCTTTCGCCCACCCAGGACTGTGCTAGAGCTGGGCAGTGGCGCTGGCCTCACAGGTGTGGTCATCTGCAAGACATGCCACCCCCGAGCATACATCTTCAGTGACTGTCACAGCCGTGTCCTCAAGCAGCTCCGAGGAAACGTGCTTCTCAACGGCCTCCCACTGGAGCCGGAGGCCACGGCTGACTCAGAGAGCCCCCTGGTGACGGTGGCCCAGCTGGACTGGGATGAGGCAACAGTCCCTCAGCTATCCGCCTTCCAGCCAGACATTGTCATCGCAGCAGGTAAGCCCGGGCCAGCCCCGCCAGCGCTCTGCTGACGGCTAGGGAGCAGAGTGCTGCAGGTGGGGAGCAGGGGCGCCCGGGCCTCCGGGAGGCATCAGAGCACCCGGAGCCCCTTCCAGGTGCTGCCGCTGGGGTGGTTCCATCAGGAGTGCCCTGGCTGGCCACCGGGGCTTGAGCTGAGCAGAAGAGCCCTCTGCCAGGCCCGCCCTGCAGAGGACGCCCAGGAGGCCTCAGTTACCATGCAGTTCCTCCATTCAGGGGGGCTGCACACGAGCCCACGAGCTCTGCCCCTCAGAGATGCTGCCACTTCACTGCCAGGCATCCAGTGCTCTGAGCACCATGCCCCAGGTCTTCAGACGGGAGAGCCAGCCATGGCAGCCCTTGGTCATTCCAGGGCCACAGCAGTCTCCCGCCTGTCACCAGCACCCAGTCCCACACCAGGCCTTGAGGGGGATCCCAGGGCAGTCGGGGAACAAGAGCTGAGCAGCCCCACCTGTCAGTGCCGGCTGTCTTCTCTGTGCAGGGTTGTCCTGGGGATGCACTGCCACCACCATGCTGGGCGACCTGCCTGTCTCTGTCTACACCTCTCTGCATGGGTCCAGGCCCCAGGCCTTCCGAGGCCACAGGAAGAGGCTAACCACTTCTGGTACAAGGACAGTGTCCTTAAGAGAAGGCAGAGTGGTTAGGCCACCAAAGGCCCTACGTCCCCTTTCCGACTTGACATCATGCCCACTACAGCTGTCAGGTTAGAGCTCAGGACACAGAAGCCCAAAGCAGAGCCCAGACAGCGTCACTAAGCAAGCAGCCTCTGAACAGGCACAGCCGGCATTCCCAGCAGTACTCCCACGAGGCCAGGGAGTCTCCGCTGGCTAGTGTCCTGAGGGTTTTCCTGTCACCTGAGCAATCTTTCTGCAGAACAGCGTAGATCTAATCTAACAGCCACTGCAGGCCTCACCTTCCCCAGGTTCAGCAGCCACTTGGTTCTGAGTCCTGAGGCCCCCGAGTAACCAGAGCTCTGCATCACAGACGTGCTATACTGCCCAGAAGTGACCCTCGCACTGGTTGGGGTCCTGCAGAGGCTCTCTGCCTGCCAGAGGGACCGGGTTCCTGACGTCTATGTGGCCTGCACCATGCGCAACCCAGAGACCTGCCAGCTGTTCACCACCGAGCTAGGTGAGTCCCCCAGGCCACAGGCCACCAAGCTATTCCCGTGAGGGATCAAGGGAGGCAGAAACCAGGAAAGTAAGAGAATGGAGCCCTGGGAAAAGCCAGGAAGCCCCGTCCCACAGACCAGGCCTGGGCACTCAGGCCAAGGTAGTCCAACACAGTGACCCCAGAGGTCGGAGACCACAGCCCTACTGTGCTTCAGGCAGGTTCCATAAGCCTTAGGGCCTCATTCCCTGTAAAATGCAGGCAGAGAGATGCCAGCTGGGTTCTGAACCGCATGACAACTGAGTGTCAGCTCAAGGTAGTCCCACTTCCACCCTCGTGGAGCAGGACTGTCACTTGTCCCCCCATCTGCACCATGGAGAGGCAGCCTGAACACACTGAGGACAGTACCTGGCACACAGAGCCCTCAGCAGTGTGGCAGCCATGGTCATGGGCACCCAGTGCAAGTAAGAGAAGGACCTGGCTGCAGAGGTGGCCTAGGGACTGCTGTTCCAAGCCTCGGGTAATGCCCTGTGGGCCAGCATGGGTCAGCCTAGACCTTGTCTCAGCTGTGAAGACACTGGGCAGACTCCAGTTTCCGTGGACTCAGCCAGATCACCCAGCCTGTGTCCCCCTGCCACTTCCCCACAGCCCCAGCATGCCAGGCCCAGCCAGAGCATTCCACACAAAAGCTGGTGCAGGGGGGACCATCTACCAACTGCCCCCCCAGCAAGGCCCCTCCTAGGAGCTGTCCAGACTCCCCTGCCCAACCTCTGTGCAGAAAGACACGGAGATGCCCCTCCACGAGCAGGCAGACAGGAGCACTCAGTACTGAGGGAGGCTGTGCAGCCCGAAGAGAGAGCAAGGAAGACACCTCTAATGTGTTTCAAGTGAAAGCAGCAAAGTGCCAATCGGCACACAGCACAAGCCCCACTGTGGTAGTTTGTCATTTGGTTTTTGGGAATTGCAGATTGAACCCAGAGATGCTAAACCACCAAGCCACACCCCAGCTGTTTTTTAAGACAGGGTCTGAGTTGCCCAGGCCAGCCTCAAACTTTCGATCCTCGTGCCTTAGCCTCCTGAATACCTGGGATTACAGGTGTGCACCGCCACACCTGGGCTTGTTATTTTATATATCTTATTGCCTAGGGAATTTCTAGAACATACACCAAAAATTATTATACTTAGATGATAGAATTACAGATTTCCTTATTTCACTTTATAAATAGTGACTTTTCACTTATAACTATGACTAAGAAGCCACCTGGCTTGCAGCGCCAGCCACCCTGCTCACGAAGACAACGCGCCTCTTCTGGCCCGTGTGAGGAGTGGTGCTGGTAGAGCAGCCAGGCAGACGTGGGGTCAGTCAGCTCCCCCGACCCTCGCAGACTGATGTGCACATGTGCAGTGACAGGGAACCCAGAGTGCCTGGAGGTAGCCTGGGCACCTGGGTGAGCCCGGGGGGCCATGAGCCCAGGAAAACAGACACAGCCCCAGGCCCAGCGCTGCCGTCCTGAGGTGTGTGCTCTGTTGCAGGCCGGGCCGCGATCCGCTGGGAAGCAGTGCCTCCTCACAGCCAGAAACTGTTCCCCTATGAAGAGCACTCGGAGATGGCAGTCCTGAGACTCATGCTGTAGCTTCGCCATTTGCATACGTGAAGATGAAGTCACTGCAGTGGGAAGAGCTTTCACAGAGAAAGCTGATAAAACTTCCTTTGGACTTGAGGGAAGAATGCCACATGCCAAGTCGGGAAACAAACTATCCTGATGGAGTAAGACTGAGTGTGGGTGCCCCTCTGTCCTCAGCTCTGGTTTGTAAGGGAATCCCCATCTGCCCGAAACCAGGCTTTGGCTCAAAAGCAAGAACTACCTTCATAAAAAATAAAACATCTTTAACAAATAGGGCTCCACAGCTGGGCGCTCACCCCAGAGGCCGCAGGAACCCAGATGAGGAGCGTGACGGGCAGAAGCTGGGAGGATGAAGAGGGGACAGGAGGTGCCAGGAGAGCAGCACGCTCAGACAGAAGACAAGACAGGTTCTGCGTGCCTGAGAAACCAGGAAGAGCCAGCTTCCCGTCAGTCCCCAGTCGTCCTTCTGGATTGACCACTGGGGTCACTACATAAAAGCCCGGGTGGCTGCGGGGCAGCAGGCAGGGACAGGGAAGAACAGGCAGTGTCTCTCCGTCCCCAGGATGGTGCACCACCCCTCAACTGATCAGGGACGTTGGCCTTGGGCCTGCAGGGTCACGTGTCCATGACCAAAGGGAGCACAGTCCGCTGCCAGCTCTCGTCCCATCGAAGCTGCTCCGACTCCCGAAGATTCTTCCGAAACTGGTTTAGTTTTCCAGCAGGATCAGGAAACTTTGAGAAAAGCATCTACAGAACAGTGAAGACCAGAACTGAGCCCATGGTGGCACCCACCCATGCCAGCCCTCCCTGAGCCTGCCAGCTGCAGGCTGCTCACCCAGCAGCACCCGTCCCCCACTTGCCCCTCCCCAGGGCTGTCCCCCACTTTCCCACACCTGTGCCCTGGAGCACATGTGGCCTAGTGTCCTGCACAGGGCACAGTCCCACCTGACTGCTAGGAGGGAGGCAGATGATCCCGGGTTCTGGCTTTACCCAAATGTTCCCGAGGGGACTGGCACCCTACAGCTGCAGACCCGATCCAGCCCACCTGACTTTGTAAACAGTTGCTCTGGAACTCAGCCCTCTGTGTACAGATGGTCTGCAGCTGTTCACAAAGCAGTTCCCCTGAACATGACAAGGCCTAGATCCTACCTAGACCTGTTCAGGGAAAGCTGTTCACCTTCCAAGAATGACAGTGGTTAACTTCTGTAAGGAGAAACAGTGTCCCCTGCAGAACCACCACGTCCCAGGCGGCACACAAACCCTCACCTCGTCTGCTCCTCCCCACGTGGCAGCACGGTTCCCACCTTCTAAGGTGCAGCCTCCATATCCCCAAAGACAGGCAAGCAGGCCCTGACTCCGCCACCCACTGCCTCCCTCAGCCTTCCCTCCAGAGCCCTGCACCCGCCAGGTCCTGTGGGCGGGCAGGGAGCAGAGCTAGCTCAGTGTTGTGCCCCCGGCCTGCTCAGGGGACACCTACCTGCAGTTGAGCTGCCAGCGCCTCCGCATCCTCAAAGACCAGGCCGTTCTCCCCGTGCTTCACAAGCTCATGCAGGCTGCAGAGAGAACCAGGGGAGGCCTGAGACCCAGCCGCGGTGCCCAGCAGTGCCCAGCTGGCCCACCCCACTCGGGCGAGGCTGAGGGCAGGGGCAGGGTTTGGCCTCAGCCTGTTCTGAAACAAAGCTTCAGAAGGAAGTGGGAGGACACATCTCAATGCCAGGCAGATGTGGAGGAGGCCCCAGGGGAGGTGCTCTTGGGTGTCACACGCCCTCTGAGGACCATGTACTCAAGGATCATTTCCTATGCACCATGCCCAAGAACCAGGGTACAGGCAAGGCCCTGGTGCTGGGCTCAGCACATTAGGGACGGGTCACCAGGAGGTCTGTTCCCAAGAGACCCAGCTTATCTCACAGAGGGTCTGGCCCCTGAACTTCCCATCCAGAGGCTGGTCCCCACAGAGGCAAGGACCTGGCCCATGCAGGGCCACTGCCTCCAGGACCTGGTCTGGAGCTGCCCTTTCCAGCACCCACCTTGGCCAGGGAGAGAGGGGTCACAGAATTACACTCCCTGCAGTAATCCCACCCCAGCTACGAGAGCTCAGCCAAGGGACGAGGAGGAGGAGGAGGGGAGGGAGAGAACCACGTAAAGCAGGTGGCGATTGCAGCCACATTCCTTACTGTGAGCGAGACTGAGGGGGAGGAGGGCGAATGCTCAAGATTCGGTGCTTTATTCAGCATGAGCCCAAACCAAAGCCAACTTGTCACGCCTCAGCATCTGCAGGGGATTCATTCCCAGAGCCCCTCCCCCAGGTGCCCCAGCTCCTTCTGTGAAATGGTGTGGTATCTGTATCCTGCACGGATCTCATACTCTAAGTCCCCTCCAGGTTGCTTGGACACCTAAAGCAATGCAAGCCACGTGAACAGTCATTACACTGTATTGTGCAGGGAATAAGGACAAGAAAAATCTGTATGCTCCGTACAGGCCTCACCACTGCCAACCTAGCTACAATGACCCACGCTTGGTTCCATCCGTAGGTACAGAGAGCCAACTGTACTGAGTGGGGCTCAGCCTGACCCCAACAGCCACGGCCCCTCTGAGCCTCCCTGCACTGCACAGGAGCTGGCCCTGACGGGGCACTTCACAGCAGTCCTGGCCACACTGCCCACCCTGTGCAGCTGACCTGAGAACCCGACCCCAGGAGATTGGGTTTCTGCCCCTACCACTTAAAGTTCACGGCACACACAGGCAGGCAGCACCCAAACATGTCCACCACCTTCATGGGCAGGTCCAGGCCACTGGAGGACTTGTGCAGACAGACACCCAGGTCCGCCGACCCTGCACGGAAGAAGGGGGGGCAGTCAGGGTTTGGGGAACATATCCTCCCGGAGTGGAAATTAAGAATGTCCCCACAACAATGTCCCAGAAAACAAGTGGCTTACTCTAGCCAAGTGCCAGGGCGAAGGGCAGAGACATAGCAGGGCTGCTGCTGGCAGCCATCACCCTGTCTAAAACTGCCATGATCTTAGTGTTTTTATTTACTCTTTAACTTGCTTTTTCTATTTAACCACCATTTACTTTAAAAAGAAGTAGTTATTGTGCAGCGTGGTAGTATTGTGCTCTGGACATGGGGTGAAGGTTGTCCAACAGGGTAAATGTAGTGAACGCAGCCTAGTTATACGTATTCAACCTCAGTTTTTAAAACCCATAATAAAATTTTTTATATAAAAAAATAAATTGTTTAAAGGAATCCACAGCAGATCCAACAAGAAACACTGTAAAAATAAAGCCAAATAAACAACTGACCTCAGCAAGACCACCCACTTGCCATGGGAAAAGAAGGCAGGAGGGACCTTCCAGCACCAGGCCCCGCCCCCTCCTGGAGCAGAGACAGAAGCCTGTTCTGAGACCCAACATGTAGGGAAAGTGGGCCCCACAGCAGCCAGGGCTGGGGACTGAGCACACATGACCCTTGAGCCTGATCAGGCAGGAGGAGCTGGCACAACAGGAAACTCGTCTCAGGAGCTCGGCTGGAGTCCCTTGTGGCCACGCAGTCCAGCCTGAGGCCTGTCGATATTAGAGCCTCTGAGCTGGGAATGGCTTTTACATTTCTTAAGTTGTTTCAAAGAAAAAAAAAAAAGACTATGCCACAGAAGCAACTAAAATCTTCAGTGTCCCTTTTTAGAAGAAGCCTGGGTCATCTTCTGGAGCCCCCCTGTTGCCCTCAGCTCTCACCTAGAAGCAACGGGTAGTCCTCGGCCTCCAGCCACGGCGTGCACACCTTGATGTGCTGGAACTGCTTCTGGCCAATGAGGCGGCTGTAGTGCTCCTTCAGCGGCCCTTTGCCTGCAGAGGACACCCATGGCACTGGACCCATTTTGGTCCCTGCCACACCATTAGCCCCAGAGGTTCCCACTGGGACTCGGCAGCCAGTTCCAGGAAGCTACACCCCTCAGCAGCCCCAGTCAGGGCCCCAGACCTCTTCCAGAGCTGACCTCAGCACCCTGAGTCCCCACGGGGCATGTGCCCTCATCACCAAGACCCAGCCCTGGCTTGGGGCCAGCTGGCCTGGGGCTGCAAGTGGAGTCCAGGGTCCGAGGGTCCCAGGTGGTACCTGTTATCACACAGACTACAGAAGGAAGGCTGTCTCCGTCAGATGCCCGCTGTTCAAACTCTATTTTAAAAATAAAAGAAACATGAACTGGTGTCCTTTCACATGAGTGGGGGGGGAGGGGGGAGGGGGGAGGGGCTGCTCCCTCAGGGAGGCCACAGAGCTGCCCACATCCCCCTTCCTACTGTCCGCAAGCAGGTCCACCCTGTGGTCCTTGGGGCAGAAGCAGGCTGCAGACCTGCCATGCCCGGCCAGCTGCACTGCCCCTGCCCCAGCAAGCCCAGAGCTGCTGATGCAGCGGCACCTACCTTCCAATGCTGCCAGCAGGATGGAGAAGTCCTCGTCCTCTGCAAAGACAACAGATCAGGTGTCAGGCCTGTCTCCAGACACCCCCCTCCCGTGGTGGGCCAGAACACAGGCCAGGTCAGACAGACCTGTCCAGCTCGTGCTGCTGACCAGCAGTGCCGGCCGCCTGCAAAGACGTGTCACCACCCCAGTGCGAGCATCCTTCTCCGTGAAGGCCGACCTCTCTATGGCAGGGCCCGAGGGTTCTGAGCTGCAGGAGCACAGAAAAGGCCGTGAGTCGCTGCAGGGAAGGCCAGGGCTCAGGACAGCCACTCCCTCACAGCAAGGACCACAGGCCCCCAAAGGCTGGCATCCAGGTGACCCTACAGAACCACTGCTGGCGGCTAGGTGCCACAAAACAAGCCACCAGTGCTTGCCCCTGGGCTCACTGCTCCACCCTTCCTCACCATTACAAGGACACTATGCCACCCCCAGATGGCACACCAGTTACTGAAGAGCACAGACAGGACATGTTGAGAACTACACGGGTCCCCTCCTTAGCCCTGAGGGACACCCAGAAGACACAGAGGTCCACAGACCCCTCACAGGCCCAGGAACCCACTGGCAGGAGGGGAAGGTAGTAGATATCTCCTAAGGAGCCAGAGGCTGGATTCTTCAGGCTTTGTGGGCCCCAGACTCCTGGTGGCGAAACCCGTTCTGCTGCGTGGCTCACCACAGCCACAGACAATGCCAGTCAGACTCAGTTCACAGAAACAGGCAGCAGGTCTCTGCCTCCATCCCCACCCCTGGATCAGGTCTGCAGGAGCGGATGGAAGGGCCAGGGCAGCAGAAAGCGTCGGAGAAGGCAGCAGGACAGACACACCAGGCCCTAAACGGAGAGTAGGTGCAGCCCAGCTTCATGAAGAGCTCGTGTTGCAGGTCCAGCGGAGTCTCCTTAAAGAACGAAGCCGGCTTGTCGTAGACAGTCACAGCCCTGCAAGGAGAGGAAGGGGCAGGGCAGAGAAAGGTTAAGGAACAGAGAACCCAAAAGGATCCAGAAAAACAAGGGCACTTCGGGAATCCAGGTCTCTATGACAAAAGCTTTAGAATTCCTTGGGAAACAGACGTTCTGACACCAGAACTTCCAGGGATTCTTCCTGGAAGAATTCCAGCCACCACACCCCACTTAGCTCCCCAAACCAGCAACTATCTCCAAGGCCCAGGGTACTTCAAAATGCCTTTCCAACATGATACGGTAGACACTGAAGCTCTTGGCCTTTCCTGGGACCCGGCACCACCCACAGGCTGAAAGGTGTCCCAGGCCCTTCGTACTTGATGTGCCAGTTCTCCGCCAGGTCTTCCCGCATTGCATTGGTCACACACAGGTTCAGGTGGGACAGGCGCCCAAAGAGCCTCTCATACCTGCAGGGACGTATGGGGGTCAGGGAGCTAACAGAGAGCCCTGGGCTGGGCCCAGATGCCAGTGTCCACACGACCTGACACCCTCACAGAGAAGAGGCTGCAGAGCTAGGGGCTCACAAACCCACAGGTTTGCACCCCTGAGCTCCCCATGCCCTCTCATCGTCACATCTTCCTAAGTGCTGTCACTGTGCAGCTTAATGCAATCACTTTAAAGGAAGCCACATACCCCTACAGGAGTGGAGATCCAGTATCTTGGGCAAAAAAGCAGAAATAAAAAGGCTGCATCTCACCACCCTGTGCTACTGCTGCAAGGCTGCAGCTTGCTCTCTGAGTGTACAAAGGAGTTTAGCAAATGCTAGGCATGAAAAACATGCGGACCGCAAACCAAGATGGAAGCCCTGGTCACAGGAGAGAGCTGGAAAGAGGAGCAGCAATTTAGGATTACTGAGCACCACCAGAGAAAGCTCTGGAGTGGGACTGCCTGACAAGAAGGCATCATCATTTACAGCCCAGCCTCCCTGACTTGTAAAAGGACAATGACCACCAGGCACCTCTACTGCGATGTGGTGGAAACCAAATGGAATAAAGTGCATAAAAGGCTCAGCCCGAGGCCTAGCACACAGCAGTGGTTATTAGAGCTGCCATAGCTGCTTTCACCACTGGCGATAAACAAGGCCCTCAGGGCAAAGGCTATAGTCCACTACAGCCCGAGGCTGGAAAAACACACCAAAGTGGACATTACAGCGGGGCTCAGCGTAGGACAAGGATTCTCCCTGCTCCAGGTCCAACCTGCTCCCCCGCCTTCGTCCCGCCCATCCTGATGGAGTTTGGGGAAAGCATTCACACCTCACCCAGACTCTCACCACTTGGCCAGCAGAACAAGGGGGTGCTTAGGGCCATGCACCAGGCCCATGATGGAGTAGCCATAGTTGTGCCAATCGATGACCAGTTTGCTCCCACAAAGGCAGCCCACAAACCAGCAGACGGCAATGCTTGGTAGGCCTGGGGGGTTCTAGGAAAGAGAAGCAGACAAAGAGAAGGAAACCCAGACATTCATGGCAGAGCGTCAGTGATCTTCAGAATTCTTGATAACAAATGAACAGCTCTCTACCACCAATGGAACAGAACTGCAGACTAGAAAAACTCCAAGCTTCTCAAAGAAATACCATTTTCCTGTCAGAATGCAAACTCTGAGGAAGCGCAACATCGGTGGGTGATGGTAAACACAGTGTGGGGGGGTCCCCCATCAGTGGGGACCCAGCCAGGATCATACCACAGCATCTTACAAGCACATCAACTTTGAACAAGCAATTCCACTGCCAGCAATGTATTCTAAGGCCCAGTCACAGATGCGTGCTCACTGTGCTCTAGCCATACTATGTGTTCAGGCAAAAAAATCAGGAAGAATCCATGTCCCTCAAGATGAAACTAAATAGCTTGCGGTTCATCACATATTGGAAGTGAGTGCAGCCCACTAACAGAAGGTACTTCTGGACTTTAAAAACTGGTAAAGGGAAGAAGTTAAAAGTTTAACTCTAGAACCAAACTGACCACCTCTGTTCAAGTCCTGACTCTATTACTTCCTATCTGTGTGACAGTGGGCTACTTACAGAAATTTTAAGTTTCCTCATCATTATGTACGTGATACCAGAATCCACTTCTTAGGGTTCTTGAGAGGATTAAAGGAGACAGAACCCTAGTGAAACACTTAGATAAGTACGAAATGCAATGTAAGACTCTGTTATGACCAGAAAAATAGCATGGACGGATACCAGAAATAACAGACACATGCTATAGAAGCCTATTTACAGGGTCCTGCCCATGGTTTTATAATATTTGTGCCCACATAAATGTGCACTTTAACAATTAGTGCATATTTTTTATGTTTGGTGCTGGGAATCAAACCAGCATCTTGCCAATGCTTAGCATGCACCCTATCACTGAGCTATAATGCCAGCCCAATTTGTGCGTTTTTAAAAGGGTAGAAAGTAATCTGTTAACAGTTGTTCTCACAGAGGGAGGCAAGCGCTGACACACACCTGAAGAAATATATAGGCTGCTGGTTCCCTCCACATCAACTTCCACAGCAAGTACACTGTCTGAAAAACAACTTTGACTCCATACCGCAGAACCGGGGGCCCAACTGTAAGTCAAAAAAAAAAAAAAAAAAATCACTACTGAAGGAGCTCCTGGCCATCTGCAGGTTCCCCACACCCAACCCCGACCAATGTAATGCAACCTGGAGGTGACAGCACCCTACCTGCGGGACTCTGAAGTTCCATCAACTTCACAATCTGTATTCTGTCGCTCTGCAAGAGCTCATGGTGGGGTCTGGAATCTGAAAGAGAATGTCCCCTTTACTGGATGAAGCAATCTAATTTAAAGTCAGGTTTTGGAAAAAGACCTTTTCAAAACCCTTCTCTGTTCCTCAGTAGCCAGAGAATGGGGCCAAATCCGGTCCACTAGAATGGCCAGTGGGAAGTCCCAAATCTTACCCACCTTTACTTAATATGATGCCTGGCACATAGTAAGTACTCAATTAAACTGATCTAGGCTTGGGGTTGGGGGAATCTTCCCACCGCAGAGACATGTCAAGGAAGTCCACTCCACCCGCACTTTCACACAGGGACCTAAAGCAGTGGTGCTGTTTCCACTGTTCCGTGAGATGTGGTGAAGTCAACCTCTGGAATCGTCCACAAGGAGCATAGTGAAGGTGCAGACACCTCCGCCTGCACACAGCTGGACCAGGACAGCTGCACGCAGATGTCACAGGAACCGCAGTCCAGTTCCAGTCTTTCCACTTCACTAGAAGAATCAGACCCTGCGACGGAGTCGCTTACCACAGTCACAACATACGGCAACCAGGAACCGGACTCCTCCAGTCTGAGGACTACCCAAGGGAGCAGTGACAGAAGCGCCGCTCCCACCTCGGCCCCCCAGGGCGCTCGGGGCCGAGGGGACAGACTGGGAGACCAGCCTCCCTCCCAGGCCCCCGGACACTCACTGCAGAACCCCAAGAAGGTCACCGAGAAGCCGCGCTTGGCCAAGGACAGCGCGTGGTACTGCATGCGGGGGCTGCGGCCCACGTCGCCCAGCACCACAATGACCACGTGCTGGGCCGCGCGCCCCCGCCGCCAGCGCTTCCACCCGCCCAGAAGCAGCAGCGGCAGCAGCAGGCACAGCGCCAGGAGAGCCACGCTGGACGGCGCCATCTTGGCCGCCAGGCAGCGGTCATGTGACGGAGCCCCCAGGCACGCTTTGCGCAGGCGCCGTCCGAGGCTCGCTCCCTGGAGGCGGGAGGCGAAGAGAGGAGGGGCGGGGAGGGGAGGTGGTTCCCTAAGTGGGTCCCGGGGAACTGCCAAGAAGCCCCTGGGGGCCAAGAGTTAATGGCGCGTACACACCTGCGCGGGTCCCGAACTCTGTATTTCTCCTATCAAAGTAAATCTTTCCTTATGGGGCTCTAGGAACTTTTCTTCAGCGTTCTAGGATAATCTCAAACTACAGTTAGAAGCCAAGCGAGGTGATGCACATTTATAATCTCAGCCACTGGGAAGCTGAGGCAGGAGAATGGCAAGTTCGAGGGCAGCCTCAGCAACTTAGCGAGGCCCTGTCTTGAATTTTTTTTTTTTTTTTAAAAAGGGCTATTTTAAAAGGGGGGGGGGGGGCTAGGGATGAAGCTCAGTGGTAGAGCACTCCTGGGTCCAATCCAGTAGTGGAGGGGGGTAAATGAGACAAGAACTTG